CTAGTTTTGAGTAGCAATTGGGCAGGTTTTGTTGTGAAAACCTGGAAGCCCTGGCTCTAAGGATTTCCAGTCAGCAACTGCATAGAAACTTCAGCCCATTAAAGCTGGACGTTAGAGAAGATCACAGGTAAGATTAAATATAATTATTTATCTAATAGATACTTCGTTTTGGCATGACATATAATGATCTGAGGATATTTGTCCATTTACCGAGAAGGCAAATGTTTGGGGTTTTCTTCAGTAGTTAGCCAGTAACGTTAGAAGCTTAAATCTGTGGGTGCAGGTGAATAATAGATGTGTTATTTAAGTTATCTTAAAATGCCACTCGTTTATTTGGCATTATATGTCTTAATATTTCTGTTCAGCGGCTCTTCAGCAGGGTAACTGAAGCTAACCAGCTGTTAGCTTGCATTGCTAATGCAATTGCTATTGGTGTGGTTTACAAATATTGTGGTCAAACTAATTATCTTGAAATTATCACACGTTAAATTGTAAATCTTTGGGTTGACAAGGAGGTGATTTTGTCGAATTTCGATTCATTTAAACGATTCAGTTTAATTATATACACGATTTAGTTAATCAACAATTAATCAATTGTTTTATGTGAAAATAATGGAAGTTTACATGCAGTGAAAATATTTTATTTCAGTTGTGGTAATGTAATGTTTTGCCAAATGCTTCAACAGTTTGAGTATGTTCGACTTGAGATCTTTGAATTATGATGGTGTATGAAATGTACTATACTGTAAATAAACTTGCCTTGCCTCACCAAGACTAGGGCTGCATTTCCCAAAAGCACCATAAGCCTAAGTTGATCGTAGCTCCATCGGTGGCTTTTGCTTTTGGCAAACGCAGCCCAGAGCGATTATGCAGACACCAGAGTTAAATATTTTATTTGCTTTTTCATAGATACCTTGCTGAAGTGGTTGGGCACCCTAGATCAGCCTTCAGCTCCATCTGAGGACAGCAAGCACTACTTATATTGAATCTTATTTTGATCCTTAGCCATTAAACAGACATAAAGTTGCCAGCACAAAGGGTCTGTAAATGCACAATGGTACGGTCAGGTGAAATTTCAGAAGATATCAAAGAAAAGATCATTTCTTACCATAAGTCTGGTAAGGGTTACAAATCCATTTCAAAGATTATGGGACTTCACAAATCCACAATCGGATCTATAATCTGCAAATGGAAAACACTTGGAACAGTGATGAATCTTCCCAGGAGTGGTCGACCGCCGAAAATCTCAGCAAAGGCCGAACGTAAAATCATCAAGGAAGTCACGAAGAAACCCGAAATAACGCCCAAAGAACTGCAAGCTTGTCTTGCCCTAGCTAAAGTCAAAGTTTCTGAAGTTACAATCAGACGAACACTGGGGAAATTAGGCTATGTGAGAGAGTATGAAACTGAAAACCAATGCAAAAAAGAAGAAGGTTTCGATGAGAATGTTTAATCCAAAAGTGTTTATGTAAATGTTTAAAGCCAAAAGTGGAGTTTTCTATATAAAATGAAAAGGCCTACAGCATCATAAGTCAAACTCTTGTGTTCTACACTATTGTGTTCTGTACTATACAGTATTTTTCTTACAAAGAAAAAATGTTGTTCAGCAATATTGTTATTCCGATGGAAATTAAATAAAATGTTTAAAGTATAAATTGTGTGTCATGTAGTTAATTTAGGTTATGATATGACTGGTTGGGATATGTGCAATGAAATTCATCTGCTCTTTTGTATCGATTATAAACTAGGTTTTTCTTTTTAAAACATTGTTTCCATTAAAATGTCTTCATATTGCTGCATTTACAATAAATGATTAAATAAATAAACATTGTGGATATTGCATAACTATTTGATATGTGCAACATAAAACATTTTAGTCACTTTATAGTGCTTAACAGTCATTATTATATATACTGTATATATATATA